GCTTCCGAGAACCTCTGAGACGTCTAAGATGTTCAGAGATAGATGCAATGAGCGCGGCCTCGAAGAGGCGGTGCTTCAGAAGAAGAGCTTGTAAACAAAACAGTGAAGAACCGTCTGACTTTGAGTCTGCGCTTTCTAGGCAAGTTCGCGCGAGACACCAAAGCCTTGACTTCTTCAGGTTTGTCATGAACGGCGGCTTGATTGTGGGCACAATGGATGGAGCGAACATTGAGATACGAGAAGAGTGTGGCAACCTGGCCTGGCTATGTCATTTGGAGCCTGCCAGACTTTCTGAAAGCTCGCATGACACGAGTTGTGGCCGCAATAACAAGATGCTACAAAGCACCCGAGGAGAGGACACGATGTTCATTTTCGGCTGTCTGGAGCATGAAGCCTCTCGGACAGCTGATTGGCCAGTCGTTCGATATTGCAGGTTTCATGCGGAACACTGTGGGCAGCAGTAGTAGTCGCCGTCGTCGTAGCGGAAGCAGCAGTAGTAGCAGCGGCAGCTGCGCTCTATGATTCCCAGGTTCCGAGCGTTATCCAAGCGGCTCAGTGCGGGCACTACCCCATCGATGGCCGCCTGCAGGCCTCGCTTCGAGGGTTTTTGCCGCAGTCCGATGACTTCAAGGTTTTGCGTATACTGTGCCGTGGTTCAGTTTTCAGAAACCTTCTTCCAGTGACGCACCGCTAAGGCATCCTAGGGCTTCAGCCGACATATTATGGACTTGGCGGTGCTTTCCCGTTCTCTGTTGAGCCTCAGGAAGTCTTCGAAGCCATTCGCGGTGGCAAATTCTCAGAGGCCTGATGTGAAACAGTTGAAGACATGTTTCCATCACGAGGGGGCAACGTGAGCATTTGTCCGGGCTGGATGGCAGGGCGAGCCGGATGCGCAGGCAGAGTTCAATTCGAAGCTTGATCGAACCACATCCGCCGTGGCTGTCACGAGTAGCCCTTCTTCCTGGTTGCCTGAGCTCAGGATTCTGGATCGCCTCTGCAATCTTCAAGCAGCAGGAGCAAGTTTCTGTATGTTTCTGTTCATTTGGATTCGCGGATCCTGAGCAGTGACCTTGAAAACTAGCCGAGGGCAGGGTTGGGCAGCTTGCCATGCACAGTTTCGCACAGGAACATGGGACGGAGACAGGCTCGCTGGTATTGATTCGATTGAGTGCCAGAAAGCAACCACGGAGTGCAAGTTTCCACTTGTCATTTCACTGTTTCGTTCTCGGTTCACTGCATGGTCTTGTCTTCAACCTCCTGGCATTTTGCGCTTTTATCTGCAAAGGGTTCGATGACAGCTCAGAGGGTGTTCCTGCAGGTATCTCGTGATCCACGATTTCCCATCCTTCGTAGATGCTCAGGCCCATGGTTGCTGGAGCTTCCCGTTTCGGAGCAAGGGAACAACAGCGGCCTTAGCTTAGGTTTTGGTGATTACTTTGGCGAGTATGTGCATGGTTTGGTAGGGGTGCCGGATGGTTGTGTTGAAGACAGAGTTTTTTGAGGGTCTCTGCTCAGGGAAGCTTGAGTGATGGCTGCACCGGATTCGCAGTATAGAGTATACTAGTATACAGTATACAAGAACTCATTACTCGCCATCGGAAGTGGTCTTGTGGATGTGCATTTCCTCACGAAAGCGCCGGGAATACCAAGAACCCCATTGTCCTCGGTGGAGAGGAAATTGTGGCACACAGGGATTCAGTGCTTTCAGCCCAGACCCTGAACCTGCACCGCAGTCAGCGACCCACGTACATGTTCGCCCATGGTGGAACATTCATAAAGACGACAGTGTTTATGAAGTGTCGCGCGTGTGCTACTCTTTTGGCAGGCAAAGGTGGATGCCACCTACAAGGTCGCTCGCTTGCAGGGTCAAGGGTTGTGGCAGGAGTTTCAGAGGACAGCCACTTCAATTTCATGCATTGAAATAAAGAGGGCGCGCAGTTCGACTATTGGGGGTGGCAACGGAAGGGGAAGGCCTCCCTAGCAGTTCGTAGTGTTCGGAGAAATTAAGCCCGGGACTGTTCGGCAACGGGTCTAATGAAAGTCGAGGGGTCTGACAGCCGGCCTCTGCCCGAAGGACAAAGCCACATGGTGTCGACTCAGCATTCAGGCCGCTTCGTCCATGGCGCGGCCCGGCGGACAGAAGGATCGGGTGGACCAATCGGTGAACCGGACAACAAATAGGATGGAATAGGCAGGCCTATGTAGACACTCATGTGCGCAAACACAGAGATGGGGTCTCATCGCTCGCCAAACAGCATGCTTGGGCCATTGGGTATATGCAGATCACTGTCCACGAATGCAAGCCTTTCAGCGGAATGGGCACTGTCCTTGCCGACCGAGGAAGTTTTCTACTGATCGCACCATCGCAGAATATGCTGATGTTTCTTGGCAGCACAGCTCGACAATAGGACGCTGCGCGGCACCAGTGCTTTCGAAGTGTGCAGGCTTGTTACAGAACTAAGCATGCAGATGTCCCATGCCAGCTTCACGACTTCGGCCATGGCGCTTCCCGAGACCAACGGCTCCCAAAACCTCAGTCAGAAGAGAGGAGGGGACGAGCTCCATGGGCAAACCCTATTCACCTTGAGTCGACGCGAGGTGATTTGGGGTGTGAAGCCGGCACGACGCGAGCTGGAACCTGTCGTCGTGGGATCCGTGCCGGTGCCGAAGCCGAAGGCGGAGTGCATCCTCAAGGTGCCACGCCGCGCGTGCACTCTCAACTGCATGGTCAGGGACATCGTTTACCAGTCGGAAGGGGGATAGCAGCCAACGAAGGGTTCTCTATGTCGGAGTCTGTGGTTGGTTGTCCGTAGATCTACAGGAAAGGGGTTCTTTGTGTCGGAGTCTGCGGTTAGTTGTGTGACGGGCTGTCGGTGGATCAGTCACAGATACAATCTCCAACTTTGCGATTTCCTAGCATGCAAGAATCTAGAAGCTGGAACTGAACAGATGAACAGCATGGCTGTGACAACCGGGACCGTGAAACACGGCATCTTGGCCTTCCTCAGTTCGCGGCTCCCATTCCATCTCTCTGGTAGGTCGATGCGATCCCAAAGGCCGCTCGTCCTCTCAAGGAGCCCCCTGCCCGCTTGAGTTTCGTATCTTCTCCCATGTGGTTCTTTTTGCCATCACTTAAGCAGTCGCCACTATTCAGCAAAGTCATTTCCCCTCGAGCTTTCCTGGTCACACCTACTCGAAGTTTTACGTTGCCATAAGACCATAAGAGTTGGATTTCAAAAAATCGTGTGCTGTCGGTCTCGGACATAGATAGTCTTGACAAACCGTTTTTGCCCTCTTGTACTGCGTGTCCCTACTGCTGCTGCAGGACGCTTTGAGACCGGGCACGCTGTCAGCTGATGCCAAGGCAGAACCGAAGCAAGCGAAGGCCAGGAAGTCTTGATGCCAGAAGACTTCGTGACGAGCTGGTCAATATGCGGCTTGTTTTCCATGTCCCTGCATGATTTGGCGGCAGGTGGGGGTGCAGGCGTCAGATGCCGCGGCCGATGGCAGCGCCAGCTGAGGCCAACTGCTCCGAGTGCCGTCGTTTTATCCGGAATGCAGCAGAGCTGAAACTCATTGTCGCAGTCCTATTCTTCCCGTATGTCTTGCAGCCCATCAACCTTAGCATGCGGCGCAGATTCATGGGCCTTGTGCTGCCCCACTCGGCCTGCTGCGACAGGCCGTTTGATGGAGTTGCTTCGCCCGAGTTCGCTCAGCGAGTGGGTGAACGGCTCCAAGTGATGGTTAGCTGCAGGATGGGACCTCACGACGACAATCCAGCCTCAACGGATTCGCTAAGAAGATATTGATATACATTGCCAAGCTGGTGCCGTTATGCCCGGGTGAGGTCAAATCCCAATGATTTTCTGTTCCAAAGTTTGAAACAGGCAGGTTTCTTGCTGGACATGCAATATCTTCGAGGACAGCTTTCTGATGTGATGAGGATTTTGCAAGACACCCGCTGATTGATTCTAGTTCCGCTTGGCGGAATGCCGTTCAGATGTTCCATCTGCCGCCGCACTTTGTCGCGTGGCAAGTCTTGTCAAGCCTGACTGGTGGGGCATGTGGCACGGGAGCCTTGCTTGGCAGAAGTGATAGTCTTGGCATGCCAGATGTCGGTTTTCGACTCTGTCCGTCTCCACGTCCCCCCCGTGCCGCCACCATGTTTTCCCTCCCACAGTCGAAGGCATACAGCGAGTACAGTGAGACTCGTGAGTCGGGCTGCTCTTGCGGGAGAGTTGCTCGAGAGTTGCAGGAAGCCGCACTGGCGTGGCGACATGATGCATGTAGCCCTGTAGCGAATACTGTAGGAGAGTAGGAGAGTCTTGAACGAGCATTCTGCACGTTCTCCACGACTTTGTCCAAGTCAATGCTTTGTTGGAGCCAACTGCAACACTTGACTCTCTGCTATGTTTACTTCGCAGACTGTCATCTGACGGGGACATTGGTCTCGCCCTGCTTTGTGCACGTTGTTGCGTGTCCAGAGCCTGACATAAACATTTTTGAAGTTCGCGATGTGGGAAGCCAGCCGATACCGGTAGAAGGAACACCCGAGTGAGTGCCTTGAGGCCACTGCAAACCTGACCTCCAAATTGCTGGCTTCCCACAAGCCTTGAGGTTTAGCATGTTCGGCCATGGGCCGAGCCACTCTCATGGAGTCGCTAGCTTTGATCGGTTGTGGGTTCCACACGAGATCGGAAATGACTTTGTCCAGACAGGGCGGGCTTTGTTGATCGAGACGCTGCCAGCCCATTTTGCGTTGAACGACTTGTCCTGTCGTCTTTCAGGAACAGAAGTCAGCCAACCTCGCCTGCACTTGTAACACGAGGGGGTCTTCGTCTTCCTCGGAACAAGCCAAGCCTGGCTTTGGCTTGCATAGTTTTCCTCCTGTCCTGGATCCTCTTCCGAAGCTCGCTCCATCTCCCGAACCTTTGTCACCTTTGTATCATATCGCACCGAAGCCGATGAGGGTCGGGACTCGAAAAGTTCACTCCTTGGAGGACCCACGTCATGCAGAAGGGCTGGACCTTGGTGGAGGCCGGAGCTTCTTCCCGCACGCCAATGGCCAGTATGCCAGGAGCGGTCGCCGCAGACAGGATTTGGGTCAGGTGAGTCAGGTGCAAGGGTCTGGTTGTCGAAACAGGCATCGCATGGCAGGATCTGGTGTTGTTTGCATTATCGAGTTCTGGGCTTGGAATCAGATTGGGGTTGATGGTTGGCAAGCGTCGCTTTGTTTTTAGATGCTTTGCCCCTTGCACATCTGCCTGACGTTGCATGCTGAAGCCAATTCAGCAACATTAACCTGCCATGATCTTGCTCCACCAGCGTCCTTGCAGTTGCTGGCTGAGACTGCTCCGTATTCCGGTAACCTGCCGCCGACAGGACTGCCTGGCAAGAAGCACAGGCGAAGAAGCATGGACACACGGATCACGAGGTGCTTTTGATGCGAGTACAGGAGTCTTCTAGAGTCTGTAGGTTGTCTAGTGACTAGTGACACCATATCTACGATTGAACACATGGAAAACTTGCAGCTTGGGTTTCAAGGTCTCCACTTTACAGATAGCTGAGTTGAGGCATGTTACCTCTTAGTGCTCGTGCCATGATGCTGCCGTTTACGCAGTCCGTGGAAGAGCTTTCGTGATTTTGGGCACTTGGGAGCCATGCTCCTGCGCCTCACGTGGCCCGCCTACCCATCATCTGAGGTGATAAAGCTCGCAGACGGTTTCTCGGCTGATAAGTGGATATAAGTGGAGTGGCCCCGTCAGTGACATCAACATGACCATACAGAGCATTCAGGGAACAGCCTGCCACACTGTTTAGCACCGCAGAGAAGGCCAGAAGCCAACGTTGAGAAGCAAAACGCTTGCAGATTTTCCGTTCAGTTGTGTGCTTTTCAGGTGAGGGATTTGTGATCGATGGTGACAAGGCACAGCACAAGCACTTGACAGTTGCGCACTTCATGTTCACAAGTTCACAAGATCGTGTAGGCAAGGCTTGCAACACCATCTTAGGTGCTACAGGGGTCCATGTCGCATGCCGCAATCCATGTTCGGGCAAACCGTTCGGAATTGCCAGGCCTACCCCATCGTTTAGCCTGTGACCATGTTCCTGTTGTGAGACCATGCCGTCAGACCGGCCGTCACAGATCGTATGTGTTCAAAGTATCCACCACCGGCGTGGCGTAGCGAGTGCCAGGGCTGCCAAGCAGCAGGTCGAGTGTGTGCAGGTGGTGTCATCCTCATGAAGCGCGTATGTCTTTCGACCAAGTGGGCGCACAAGAGCCAAGTTTCGGTGAATTTGTCGTCTCACCCACCTGGTTCACAGCTTCTGCGCATCAGATGGAGAAGTGCGGTGCGGCAAAGGTCATGTACTTCGGCATTCTCCCATGAGTTCGGGGCGACACATGGGATCCACCTATGGACAAGGCTTTGTAACCGGATTGTAGGGGAATAATCTTTCAGGCTCCTACAAGTTAGACGGGAGCTCTGCATACAGTCTTCCTTTGATTCCTGGCCCTTGAAGCTTCCCTATGCCCTATGCTTTTCCAGAAGTTTCCCATCCTGTTTAGCTTTTACAGTAGCGGCCTAGCAGGCCCTTCGAACTCCTTTGGAAGTAGAAAGTCACCCTCTCCAGGAGCCTGCTGGAACTCCGGTCACCTAGTCTAGCTTCTCTAGTCCGAAAAGCTCTCCTTCGTTCTGGTGGTGCTCACTCGTGCCTCTTCCTGTCACGTGCAACTGCCTCAAATCCACGAATTTAGTACAGGCCGGACACTTGATCTCCGGAGTCACGCGGCAGAGCGGAACGATTCCAACCAAATCTGAAGGTCGGGCGGCCCGCGACGCTGAGGCTGCGGTCGTATCCAATCTAGGGGCTGATGCCGCGTCCTCCGTGCATCGGAGCTTATGAAGATGGTTCAGCTAGTGGAACTCACATATGCGACTCCATAAATCCTCAACTCCCAAAGCATCGGCACATATCAGCACAAGCTGTAACTGTAGCATCGACTCCAGACGTCCAGAAGCAGTTTCGACTTGGCGTGCACACAAGCAATCGGCTGAACCGTGTCAGGTTGGGACCAGCCACTTGCAAGCTAGGCCTCCAATCACAACACCCGAGTGCCACACCAAATAGCAGCAGTGTGGAATATGCTGCTACAGGAGACTTCGCAGCTGCCAATTCCGCAGTCCGTCGGGAGCCCTAGCCGCCACCTATGGCCCATGCTGCCGGTCCAGAGAGTGGACAGACCTTCAGCTCCTGACACGGGGCAAGCCGCGCGCGATGCTGAAGCCTGAAGCAGGGAGTGAACGAGGGGCGGGAAAGGTTGGCATGCTAGGTCGATTGAGGCTTTCTTACTGTCACACCAACTGCACGTGGGACGCCGTTGCTTGCCGCAGTTCCAGTTTTGCTCAGCCGGTTGCCAAGCCTGCCACTGGCGCGGACTGGAGGTCTGCGAGAAACATGGAGAACCCAGAAGCAGAAGAGTCATGCACCAACGCTGCCTTACCATCTGCAAGAGCTTAACTTGCTTCTGGGTAAAGTTTGGCACTAGGGCCATCCCGAGGACTGGCGCAAACAAACTTGAGCCCACAAGCCCTGAACCTGTTTATTTTAAACCCAAACATCCCAAAATATCAGAGCCCGGGACGCGAAGCCTCACCAGCCTTTTTGCGAGTCTAAGAGTCGACAAAAGCCCAAGAATTCCATGCCCACAAGCCAAACAGCCCCGAACGCGGGGGCCAGACTTGGGAGCCGGGGTGGTTTGTTGAAGCTGAGGAATTTATAAGCTCGGGTGTCGGGTTTAGGCGGTCCGAGTTAAGCTAGACTTAGGTCCAGCAGCAAAAGAGAGGCTTTGAATTGGGTTTCAGGCAAGTCAGCGTTGGGGCTGAGTAGTCAGGTTGGGGAGTTCATCATGGACTCTCAAGACCCGCGGCTCAAACAGTAGTTGAAAACGTCAAACTGGAGAATTTCCAAGACTCATAGTCCTTTATCTACAAGTGTCAGAGCCGTGTTAGTCAGTCAAGCCAACCACAGAGAGCGGCAGGGCATGGCAGCCATCACCGGGGACCAGGTGGCTGTGTATGATCGTCGAAGTCTTACAGCTTTTGTGCAGGCACTTGGTAGATGCTTCGGGAAGAAATCAGTTTCTTGTGCACACAACCTCCTTGGTTTCAGCTGAGGCCAGCTTCGCCTTTGGGGTGTCCAGGCGCAGCAAAGGCTACTCAACGCCAAGGCCGGCAGGCGCTTGACGTTGCTTTCGCCATGTGTGACGATCGCAGGTCCTGATTTGGGGCCTTGAGGGCAGCAATGTGGAAGCCTGCAAGAACTTGGTGCTGGCAGGCGCGAAGCTGCAAGGTCATAAGGTTGTTTAGTGAAGTTTCGAAGGGTGAATTAGGGCTGTAGAGGCCGAAGGCTGTAAAGCTATGGCATGAAGCCCTGAGCTGCAGCGAGCAGCAGCAGCACTAGTGCGGCATCTTCAGCGTGGCGGCAGCATTGATATTACTCATGACTCGTGGTAGAGGTCAAGGCCGTGGTGAAGGTAGTATTGGTGTATGTCAGTACGTAGTCTGTAGTAATGTACCAGTTGTCGCAATCGCTGCTGCTGTTGCCGCTGCGGACTTTGCCGTTGCTTTTGTGGTGAGGTTCACAGTGGCAGTGGCACCGATAAGGGCGAGTCGAGAACTAAACTCGACTAGAGCCTGAGATTCCCGTCGGCACTTGCTGACGATAGGCATCAAGCGAGCCTTTTACTGTCTGGGGAAGTTTATATGCCTTTTGCCCCGGACAATGTGAATGTCATGTGCAGAAAGCTAAGAAACGATTTTGCATCTCTTCCCAACATCTTAACCCAGCCAGGGAATGTTGCTTTGGGAGGAATTTCGCTGACCTTGAGGGATCACCGTACAGTTGGAGCTGCGGACGTTGGTGGTGGCCTCAGTATGACCCGTTTTCGTTCGTGGGTTGCTGCTGAAGTTCCTGCCTAGAGTTCGACGGCCGCCACACAGCCCTTGCGGCTAAGCTACTGAACCGCAGAAGTCCTTTCCTGTTCCCTCGACCTGCGGCCATGGCACTTCTTGGTTTGACTGCCCTTTTCTGCATCACGTTGACTGTTACCTCTCTGCACCGTGATTGCGCTCCTTGGGGTTGCGAAGTTGACTCCACCTTGCACTTTCAGCTGCTACAATATCAGATGTCAGTAAGGAGTGGTGCACAAGACTTCTCGGAGTGGATCGGGAAAGGTGCGAACATGATCAGGTCAGGTTCCACATCGGCGATCCCACCTACATCCCTGTCTGCAGGTCCATCTTGGTCGTGGACCGCGCCAAACGGAGGGGTTGTGAGGGGATCGCCGGTCATAGATTCAAAGGGTGCCATCTACCAGTCAACCATTGATGGTGACATCTTCAAGTTCTCACGGACGGGCGATGTCTTGTGGAACTTCACTACATCAGGAATTTCCTTGCCCGGCAACCCTGTTCTCATGGAAGATATCCTGTACACCATTCGCGTGGATGGTCAGATGACTGCTGTAAATTCCGATGACGGGAAGCTTGTGTGGCAGACCAGGGCTTGTGGCATGGCAAGTGGAGATACCCACAGCATTATTGCCGGTGAAGGTGTAGTGCTCGCTTCATGCTTGGAGATACGCGATGCCAAGATAAACGCAGCAACGACTGTTGTTGCATGCAATGCGACAAGTGGAGCTGTGCTTTGGAAGTTCCGTCCAGACATGCTCATGTATAACTGGATTGGATCCATTCAGAACGGATCTGTTCTTTTCTCTGACACGCTGGGAGGCGTCTACCGACTCCTTCTCAGGGACGGGTCCGTTGTTTGGAAGGTACCCGCTCCAAGCCCGCCTGCAGGGACCACCGGAGGCTTGACAGGTGCTAGCAACGGACTGGCCTACGTGAGCAGCAACCTGCAAGGGGAGAACACGCCGACGGGCACTGGATTGGTGTCAGCATACTCTGTAGAAGATGGCCGGCTTGTGTGGCGACGGGCTTTCCCCAAGTTTCCGGCCAACTCTGGTCCGGCAGTTACAACACACGGGAATCATCCATTCCTTGTGGTCGCCATCGGGACAAACCCTTCCTTTATTGGGCCTCAGGGCCAGGTCCTAGACCTGGACTCCTTTGGCAACAGTCCGGATCATCGTCATCCCTCCAAGGTAGTGGCTTTGGATCTGCTTGATGGCCACACTCTGTGGGAATACGACTTGCCTGACTGGCACGGAGGAGCTGCCGGCGACACTCCACAACATACGTGTTTGCCGGACTCATATGCTAACCCCTCAATCGCAGGAGATGGCGCGGTTTTTGTGGCTGGTATGTCGGGGAAGGTCTACCGTTTTTATGACCACAACGGAGATGGGAAGCTTGAAGCGGAACGCGGTGAGATTTCAGAGTTTGACACAGGAAACGCCTTCCAGGCGGCCCCAGCCATCAGCGAAGGCATTCTGGCAGCATCTCCTTGCAATGGCTTGAGTGTGTTCTTGTCTTAGAGCCTCGGACCTTACCAGCGCTGAGAAAGGAGGTACCTTCACATGTTTCGGCTTCGGCTTCGACCATTCGGGTGCAGGACGGTCTGCAAAGTCTCCGTGTCCGGGTTTATAGAAGCTGCAGTGCATGGTTCAGTCCGACAACTGCCTGTCAGTGTTTCAGTGCGATGAGCTTTGCAAGCTCGAAAGCTGCATGAAGCACTCCATATTATTTCCGACTCAGTTTAAGGCACTATTGATCGATGTTGTCTCCGCTTGCAACGGGTTTTGATGTCAGGTTTGGTAATTTGGGGACTGCTCACCTGGTTGTCCGAAAGCTCACTACTGAATCCAGTGCCTTATGAGTCTGAGCCTTGTTTTCTGTGCCTACCAACAACTAGGCGCGTAGGATATGCATGAATGTGAAATGACGCACCGCACGAAAACACATCGAACCATCTATGCATTTTTATGCAGCTGCATCTATGACGGCGAACGTCCCGCGGCGTATTTCGAGTTCGCCTGCAGCTGCTTTCGGCATGAAGTGGACTCAGCTTTGGTCCGATCCGAATCACGATCTGTCCCAACGAGTGTAGACTCACATGACAACTTTAGG